ATTCGGAGGCACCGTTGTTGATTCCCGATGAAAATGTCCCCGTTACAGCTGCAACGGTATCACTCCTCTTTTTTCTCAGAGATGCACTTTCTGATATACTCGGATTATTTTAGGACGACACAACGCCCCCCAACATAGATATAAATTCAGAACAAACCACGACACCCAGCATACCCCGAAAACGCCGTGGTCCAGCTCACGGAAGCAGAGCAGCTTCCAAAAAAGCTAAACAAACCATCTAGCATGCCTTATGCTGTTGGCAATCTACTATAGTACCAGGTGCACATACTAGTCCCAGGGTAAACCAGATTCTGAGAGGGGTTTTAGAGGTTGTAGATTAAGGCACGAGCTTGTTTGAAATCAATTTCGCTTTTATGTTATTTACTCATATTTTGGTTTCCGGGAAAAATCAATGTCGCTCTCCACAACCACTGAACCAAATCACAGAAAGTTTTGTTTCGTTAGAATATCCTCTCTCCCACCCATAACAATAAAGATGGCCGAGTGCCTTGGCTGGTATGCACGAGCCTGTTCGGAATCATTTTCGCTTCTATGTTATTTTCTCACATTTGGCTTCCGGGAAAGATTGATGTCGCTCTCCACAACCACTGGACCAAATCATAAAATTCTTTGTTTTGTTGGGATGCCCTATGTCTCACCTATGAAAAGAAAGAGGGTCAAGTGCCGTGGCCGGTATGCACGAGCTTGTTTGGAATCATTTTCGCTTATATGTTATTTACTCGCATTTGGCTTGCGGGAAAGATCGATGTCGCTCTCCACAACCACTGAACCAAATCACAGAAAGTTTTGCTTTATTGGAATGCCCTCTGTCTCAACAATAATTTTTAAAAATGGTCAAGTGCCGTGGCTGGTACGCACGAGTTTGTTTGGAACCATTTTTGCATCTATTTCATTTACTCACATCTGGCTCCAGGAAAACCCAATGTCGCTCTCCACAACCACTGCACCAACTCACAAAAAGTTTTGTTCTGTTGGAAGATAGGATGCCCTCTGTCCAACCCATGTCAAGAAATCATACAATTGAGGCAATTCTACATTTGTCATTGTGGGTCGAACCTGAACATCTCGCTTCGGAGTTTGCAACTGTATTAGTACTGATTTCTTTCACCCAAAATGTACATAGTAGTCACTTAAAGGATATAAGTCACCCCTAGTAATTTTCTTTCGATTTATGGCTGAGCCAATTTTTAGCTACCACACTGGACTGCGACGAATTTCGTCGAAATCACGTGGTAGTCTATAAATCGGCTCTCTGTACGGCAGTGGTGAGGATAGTGTAACACCACAGGGTTGTAACAGTTTAGACCTCAATGCTGATACCATGTGAATGTTCATAATGCTACAGACTTGTGTGGCGGAATACTCGAATAGGCGAATATATAGTTCATGTCTGTGTGGCAGTAAACATGCATACAGGATAGTAATCTCGTATCTCTCGCTTTCGGGCCCTTGGCTCTCCTGGTTGACCTTAAGTACAAATTATCTACCCACCTGCTACGTTAATACAATCGCAGGCAAGCGCGGAGCGAGTAGTGTTCAGTCGATCGAAAGTTGAACATGCCGTTTGATGCCGTGATGCCGAGTCGCGGGACTTCCCGATGGTGCATCCCCGCAGATGCCGAAGACGATCGAGGAAGGGGTTGAGGGGGGGAAAACGGTGACCCAGCCAGCCAGGCCGATCGTGACTTAGGGGGGGGAGGGTGACGATCGGCCCAGATCGCCACCAAAGAAACCGTGACCGCCGGTCTCAGGAGGCGGTGACCGCTTCCCAATCGGGACGGCGGTCACAACGAACCCTAGAGAGAACCCACCCTACCCTATGACCCGGTGTTTCGGCTTGCTGATCCGAATGCCCCTTGAAAGGAAAACCTCCTGGAGTGGATCTGAAACCTTGCTGGCATCACTAATCAACAGGGTAATCACAACCGGTGCAGCCACCGTCGTCTGCGCAGCCGTTGACTTGGGCCTGTTCCTTGGATATCCGACCACCAACTATCATGTCGTGCCGTGAGTGGAAAAGCCTTCAATCCCGAAATACCACCCCGACATCATGATTGTGTGCGTAGGGCATATATAGTTGGCAAATTGTGCGTTCATGCACTGAGTTACGGTCGATCTCACCGATTCAACCCCTCTATGAGATTAGCTTCACAAACAGTCTAATGTTGACTTTGAACCTTCGCCGCCCACATGCCGCCAAGGACAACTCTGACTCGCTGCCAATGCATTCCGTCAAATTCGCAAACGGCACTGGCACGTCCCAAGGAGGTCTCCACGTTGATCATGCGACTTTCAGTAAAACTGATGTGGCCATGGTTGGCTACGATGCAAAACGGATGTCTGCAGTGGGTGCTTTATGCATATACAAACTCGGTCGAAGTTAAACTCTCTTTGATCTGCCAAGGATCATCTCGCCAATAATGTACAGGAGCATCGGGTGGAGATCCGGGAGATCAATAATGGCGACAGCGGTCGGCCCGACGCCAAGGCGGCTGAGACATTTTAACATCTCTCCGTCATCTTACAGAACTGTGGAGGTGTTCCAAGATGAGATGGAGAGAATAACAAGGTATAGAACATTAGGATTAAAATAGTTATAAATAGTATTGAGTAATACTACAACTCTCAGTGCTTCTCAGTGAGTTCCCTCCCTTCCAATGCGCGGTTGATTTATGGAAGAAACATAGAGACGTGCTTACCTCTGTGTTACTATCAACACATCAGTTGGCTGTAGAAGTACTACGATGTTCGGACCACGCACATCCTCGAGAGCCTAATTGAGCAAGGCGGGTATGCAGATTCCGCAGAGACGCCTGAACATGCTGTCCTGTCATGCTGCTCCTCAGTTGAGCTGGTATTGCTAACACAGTCATTCATCTGTTTAACTATGCCCCTCACTTTCATGGTCGGATTGAACACAATTGAGTTTTTAAAGGCCATGGTATATGAACCATCCTCAATAGCTCTCGTAGCAAAATTTGTGCTTGATGTCCTTCAAACATTCTATGCGACACCATTTTTTAGATTAGCTGCCGTAATGACGATCGATTTCATTTGCAGTGCTACATGTCTACTACTTAAGTTCTACAGTGGCACAGCCAGCCCCCACCGAGGCCTCACCATCTCTTGCTGTCGTCGCATCACGACATCGCCGCTATGTCGCGTCACGCTTTCATCAACGTCGTCACCCGCTTGTCGCCCGCCCGTCACATCCCGCCCTCAGTCACTGGCACATTCTGTCACATCCACTAAATATTATAAAAGTATACCCTGATATTAATTCTTATAATTATCGACCCGTTCCGCGCCCGACACTGTTGTTAAGCGCTGCCATCTCTCCCCGGAATACCTGGGAGCTCCTGCGACGCGTCCGCGAACCCACGACGCGCATCACGTTATTATGCGACACGTGGTTGCCACGTGGCCGCAGTGATTGCGGCGTGAGTTTGCCAGGTCTGCGTCGCGCCGCGGGGCAGGTCGAGCACTTGCCCCCTCTTGCGACCCCCCGACATAGCATGTCCCCAAAGCTCGGTGCGTCCCCAGCTTTAGGGACGACTGGCCATCCGCGCCGTCACGCCGCCGCCCACCCACCCCCGGAATCTTTACGGCCCTTCACGACACGTAACACTCGTGGCGTGGCTTTTATTTCCTCCACCGGTAAGCGACTGCCCAGCCCTACTTAGCTAACTAACCTATTATGCAGGCTTGGCGCACCCCTGGGATTTCTTGCCTCTACGACGGCGGTATGAAAGGTACGACTCTCCCTGGTCTTCTTTAATTCAAACTCACGTTCCTCGCGCCGTGTAGTATCGCTCCGACGCAACACGTTTGCGGCACTGTACGCGCGCGCCGCCTACGACGCACAAGCAACCTTTGGGCGCGCGCGTTGTCAGTATCCACGCCGCCTGCACGCCGCCAGCCGCACATGCCGGCGCGTTCCTGTAGACGCGCCGCACACTGCACGCTCCTGCGACGCGCGCAAGTTCAGGACCACCGTGCGTCTATCCATCATTAGCTGGGTATGCTGACAACCCGTATCTCACTAGGTGCCCCACGGCCACGTATCCGGACGACGTCGACACCACCTCGTACGCCCTCAAGCTGCTCCCCGTCGACGCCGGAATTGCCAGCTCCGTGCTCGGCAAGATGTCGACCTGGGGCACACCACCGCGGAGTCGGTCATCGCCGCACGTCTCGCCCGCTTACGCATACGTCCCGCTGACTCCGCCGTACTTCGATTTCGGCCCCCGCGTCGACGTCCTGCGCTGCTTCTATGCCCACGCGCGCGCCGGCGCAGACCCCGCGCTCGCGCCAACAAAGGAGTTGGTGCTGTAGACGCTGCGCGACGGCTCCTATGCGCACGGCACGCGGTACTACACTTCGCCCGACAGGTTTATCTACTTGTTCGCGCTTCTGCTCACGGACCACCCCGCGAACGCCGTTATGGGATTTCTTGCCAGTGCCTCTACGATGGCGGTATGAAGGTACGACTCTCACTGATCTTCTTTAATTCAAACTCACGTTCCTCGCGCCGCGTAGGAACGCTCCCGGCCACCTGTTGTCCACGACGCAACACGTTTGCGGCGCTGTACGCGCCCGCCGCCTACCACGCACAAGTAACCTTTGGGCGCGCGCGTTGTCAGTATCCACGCCGCTTGCGTTCCTCAAGACGCGCCGCACGCTGCTCGCTCCCCGTTCCACCTTGTGCGCACTACTGAGCACAGGGATACTCCAACGGACTACAGGCGAAGGATCTTGTGGAGATGGAATTTGCACAGATCAGTGAGGTGGGTCTGGCGATCGAGGAGGTTGTGTGGAAAAAGATGCAGGGCTCCATTGCGGGGTGGATAGCAGAGCGCGCTGCAAGTTAGATTAATCGCTGTTAAATTGTATTTGCGACCTCTTTCTTGATCAATGGTGGCCCGAGTAGGGGGGTAAAATCGACCGAGAACAAAGTGCAATAAAATGAAGCAAAATAATCCGACTTGTCTGAATCGAACAGACGACACCCAGATTTTACCATTACAGTCTGATGCTCTAGCCAACTGAGCTAAAGTCGGCTTGTTGACCTGTGCTTCTGAAGCGCCCTTCATACATATTTGGGCTTCCTAGGCATGATGAGAAGACGACGACGCACACTCTACAAAACAAAACTTCATGTGTCCACAAGTACAACGAGGTGGACTTTCAAACAATCCCGGACAAGTCGGATTCTTTTATTTCATTTTATCTCTCTTCTGTTAGTTCATTGAATAAGTCGCAATCGCATAATGTATCCTTTCATACAATTCTGCGGCTTTGAATTTCTGAACATGTGACAGCGGGTGATGTGCAGCACGGCTCCTGCATGGCTAGGTCTGTGCGTTGCCGTCACTGCCCTCCGGATCGACGGATCTTCAAGGACAAAGATGGTGCAAACGGCAGGGCACGACTCGGAGGAGCGCTTGATGAGGCTCTTCGGTTCTACGCGGCCATCGATATCCACAATATGGGTGTGCGCTTGCAGTTAAAAAATTGGGAGGCCGGTCTTCGGTGGGACAGATGCTGTTGCCCCCGAAACACTGCTGAGGAACAGGCAAAGCTGCGCGGGATGCAGCGAGTCTGGATCGAGGAAGACACCCCGGTTGGCAGCGACGAACAGCGGTGTGAATTGCTGCCGAGTGACGCGACACGATACCAGTGGTAAGCAAAAGCTCTCGTGGCTGCAAGGAAATAGACTCGCCGCTGCTTGGATTGCCAGTAACTGGCCTGCAGTGATGCTGTCAATCACAGCGTACTTGAAACTATCATCCCCCTGACGCTATTGGGAATGCATTCACAGTCGGTAGATCCGGCGGAGGCGAAAAGGTGAGCTAAAGACTCACGATAGCAAAAGACACATTGTTTTCCGACGGGGGGTTTCGATACACGTCAGCTTTAAAAGGGTCGCCAAGTCGTGCCATGTGCGCAAAAGCTTCACAATCTGGACTACCTCTGATTCTTGTTTGTAGGCCGGATCTGCCCGCTCGAGTCGCTCGACTCATCTGGGAATCGTCATTGAGCTCGGGAGGTGATGAGATTAATGATGATTGTGGTAGGGACGCGAGGCAGTCCCGGAGGGAAGCATGAGAGATCATTCGGAGGAGATCACGTCCCAGTAGCGTCCAGTGCTTCAGTGCTTCGTCGACGTAGTACCGGAGTGACGTCCAAAGTAGTATTAGAAATTGGTCGACAAGACTTACGCCCCCGTACCGGCACTCTCTATCCGTCTGCTTGCGGCCTGCCCGCCATAATATCTGTTGTCACGACATGTCTTGCATGTACGAGTTTAACCCAATTGAGTGGGGATAATGATTGAACAAAGACTTCATGATTTATTCAATGACAACGGTACGGGTCTTCTGGATTTCTGGACCCTCGTTGCCGAAGTATCGTCTCGCACCAAAGTTCCATTCATAGTTGCCCGCGCTATACTGGCATGAACATGTGTGCGGATGCCGTGTGAGAGTCACAGGACAACTTACCAACTCCGTCGACGTACATGGCTATTTGTTCGTCGATTTCCTTGCCCCACGATGGAAAGCCCCGCCCATCGCTCCGAGTGGCCAAAAAGCGCTCGACGAGCTCGTCGTGGTAGTTTGAAATCCAGCGCATGCCCCCGGAGACGTCGGTGTGCTCGTTGACCATAACTACGGTAACAGAGCGTCGTTGGCAAGGATCTCCTTGTTGTACGAGCACAAGTCCTAAGCGAAAATTAGTCTTAGGGTTAAACACACTTCGCCACGGGCTGCAGTTGTGACATGCCGTGATCATTGATGCCAACGTTGAAGCTAGTATGAGAGCATAAATCAAACCTCGGCAAAAGAAGAAATGCAACCAAACAAATGGGTTCCAAAGATACATGGTTAAAATGAATTCAAAAGAGTAGCATTGCTATACATATCCAGAGCGACGGCGAAAGCTCACTATACCACTAGGTTCGCCGCCGCCGTTGCTGCTCGCCACATGCGATTCGTGGTTCGTCCATCCGCCAAAGCCGCCCTGCGGTGCACATACGTCAGCGCCCGTACCATGCGACGGTTGATTGTACCGACCCGGCTGCACGTCCCGCGACGCGGCGCGAACTGCAGCTCGTCTCCGACGACGCTGCCCATGTCCGAGCTCTGGTTGCGGATGCGCTCCCGACTGTTCAGGCTGCGCCGCCGCGATGGCGGAGTGAGGGCATGTCATGACGCTGGAAGGCAGGTATGCTCACTGGGCGAGGAGCGAGTTCGAAAAGACTGACGGCGCGCAGCTGTAAGCGCGACGCAAAAAAAGATGGAGCGCGGACTCACGCTTGGGCTGGATGAGGTTGAATGTCAGCCAGGCCACTGGCGCTATGTAAGTCTGATTCACTGAGCGAGCGGCGGGACCTACGGTCGGATTTCGCGAGGAACTGGCGGCGGTCATGAGCGGCGCACAACAGCGACCGAGGGCACGTACGAAGATGAGCTGCATGACACCCACGGCGCTGCGATGGCCGGGACGACGTCAACCGGGAAATCTCCGGCTGCCAAAAGCACGCACCAGGTGATGGCTGTCGTTTCTGGCATAAAAGTCGCGTAAGCCTTTGAATTTTCCGAGACAGATAATCGTCCTGACCGATACTCCAGAGAATCAGCGTGTCGAGCAACTTGCGCGTCCTGGCGAGTGCGTTCACTTTGAACGAAAACCGAGTCGACTGCGGACTCACGCATTGAAGTGGCTCTCTGATCTGCGCCTCCACAGGAAGAAGCAGAGCGATCCGGCGATTAGGAGGTCGACCGCGGGGCCGAGTGAGGACACCGCAATCATCGACCAATGGATCTTGTTCGTGAAGATCTCAAATCCGTTCGACCCCAAGAACAGGGAGAGGATCGTCAGGCTGAACGCGAATCGCGCCGTTGTCAGGATGGAGCAGACGATCGTGATGTAGTAGCTTCCAGACAGCGTCCAGATGCGCAGCGCGAAGAAGGTCTGGCCGTGGGATTGGGCGACGGACTGGGAAAAGAACGACGACGACGCACCTGCACAGTTGCGTAGATCAGCGTGGAGAACAGCACGGTCAGGGCGAGCGAGGGCGGAGGGTCGAGAATGTGTGCGATTTGCCCGTAGAAGGTGACGGTTATGCGGTACAACTGAATGAGATGAGGACAACGACGGCATAAAACAGCAGGCCTGCCCACCGCATGCCAAAGAGTGATCGTGTGCCCAAGCTCCAGAAACCTGCGACGCTAAATGCTTCAGCTTCTTAAATAACCTTTGGATAAGCGGCGTACCAGACTGCAGCGACCTTTGTATCCGGAAAGTCGTCAGCCAGCCCAGACGGTGCGCCATGCGATGCCTACATACCAAAACTTTGAGACGCGCTGGGTCCTTCGAATATCGATCGTAGTAATTGAATGTCTGCATGGTCATAATTCCAAACAGGACCGTGCCCACAGCAGCGCCGATGACGATGGTGCCCAAGGTGCCGTCGAGTGACATCTTGGTGGTGAAAAGGAGACGCACTCATGTATCTGCTTCTTCAAGTTAGGGGCCTAGCACGGGAAGATCATGTGACTTGGATGTCGGAATGTCCGCCGTTCGCTTCACTGCCCGTCTTGCCGGTTTCCAAGAGCCTTCAATTTCTTTGCACGGGTTCGGTACGCCGCCATCAACAACCGAATTCGACGGGGTCCCCGTGACGGTACAAGGTGCGGCGGCATCAGTAAAACAGCAGCGTCTTTCGCTTTCCATCTTCCAGCGTCTTGGTCTTGCAAAAATCGTCTTACATCTTTCATTCCATGTCTTTCAATATCCTTGTCTTCCAAGGACGTTAGTCTTTCGCGAATGGTAAATGATCTTTCAATTCCATTGGCAAAAAAAATCTACCTGATTGAGGAAAACTTTTTTGAAACCACATTTCCCCAGAGTAGACCTCAACCAAAGGCCAGAACCGCGAAGTGATGACTGCCATGAAACGCATTGTGTTGATCGCCGCGACGTTAAAACATCGGTTGGTGTTGATCGCCGCCGCATGTGACACTAACGCTTGTCTTCTCCTATCTTCTGAGTTCTCCCTCTTTTCCGTTCCTCTCCCTGTGTGTTCTCGGCCCGCCCACTGGCACTTGGAGCTTCAACGCCTCCAGAACTGGCTGTTTACCTAGCTCCGCAATTTCTCAAGATTGAAAAACACTTGAAGTACGAATCAGGGGTTAGCTAACTTGGGAGATATTCCACGCCGACAAAGTCTCATGACCAGAACTAGATAATCTACTCGGACATGGATTATAGATCATCTGTTCTGAGATATTCGTGCAATTTATTATATCTTTATGGGAAGTCATCCAGTGGTGAGTTAACTTGTCACGTTTATCATGAGTACCGGTGATTAGGTCACATCGGCCGGATTTTTTTTTGTCGGGATTTTTCCGTCTGTCTACGGCCCAATTTTTTGTCGGGATTGTGGCTTTGCAGATTTTTTTTTTGTCGTATTGTGTACTGAAGCCGTGATATATCATCTGTTTTGAAAATTATTTTATCTTCATGGGAAGTCATTCGTTGAATCGAAGTCAACTTGTCACGTTTATCGTAAAACATTATCCCGGCTGAGGGCAGATCCGCAAAATGGCCGGATTTTTTTGTCGGGACTTTTCCGTCTGTCTACGACCCAAATTTTTGTCGGGATTGTGGCTTTGATCTCTGCCAGATTTTTTTTCGTCGTAACGTGTAATACAGTCGTGATAGGCTCCATGCCGATTCTGCCGAAGTATCTGGTTGCCACGGGAGCAGCCAAGCGAGACCAAACAGATCCTCGTCTTTCTTCTTTCGAAGATGCCACTTCTTGTGCCACTTCGACAACGTCTGTCCGACCAGGATGCTAACATCTCTGAACTCAATCTCATCGCTTATCCCGTTCTGACACTTCCACCAGAAATCACTGCCGAAATCTTCAAGTGGTGCATTGACACAAATAAGCGCCTGCTTCCTTCTGTGGCACCTCTGCTCCTCACCCGAATCTGCCGTGACTGGAGGGATCTGGCTTTCTCTACCCCCGCACTGTGGGACACCATCATTGATT